ACCTGCAGTGAATATCAGTTTTTTTGTAGATTCTATGTTGCCTGCTAATCTGCGAAATATTGAGTCTCGTGTTGCTGACATTCCAGTTGAGTCTGCAGCGGAATGGTCTACTTCTTTCCACAAGCTAGACGTTCATTCGTCTAGTTCTACTTCTGGTTCAGACGATGAAGAATTACCTTTTTTTAAAAAAAACCACTCATCAAATGTTATCAGCACAACCAACAACTCAGATTTTGTAAGCTGGCGACAAAAATATGTTTTCTGTTTTTAATTTTTTTACTTTTTGTATGCCTTTAGAATTCTTTGTTTTTTTAATTTTGGTCTCGTGCTTATTCTTTGGTAAAAATTATGGTGAGGACAAACAGTAAAAAATTTAGATATTAGTTGTATTAAGGGAAAAGTGCAATTTTTATATTTTAAGATTTTACAACTTTTTATTTTTAGGAAATACTCTTTGAAGAAAACGAAGTTCGTGAAGCGGTCGGCGAAATTAGTGAGAGGGAATTAGCCGAGTCTGACGAAAAATCACGGGGAACTGATTCAGCTAGTAGTTTAGATTTGGGTTTTAGGGTCTTGTATATTCAAATGGAGTACTGTGAACAATCGACGTTGAGGTCACTTATTGATAGTGGAGAACTTTCTGCTATTCCAAGAAGAATATGGCAAATTCTGAAACAGATCCTGCTTGGGCTACAATACATTCATCAGGAAGGGATGATACATCGAGATATTAAACCGGTGGTGTTACCGTTCTCTGTTTGCTTGATTGGCTCATTTTTATTACATTTAGGTGTTTTGACACTTTGAGATCATTAGCTCAAGGCGACACGTAGTAGGGAATTTTTTAGAGGGGATTTTTAGATGAACATCTTGATTGATGGCACGGGGACAGCTAAAATTGGTGATTTTGGCTTAGCAACTCGCAACTACTTGGAACGACAAAGTGCCTGCACAATTTCTAGCGAGAAGGAGGAATCTTTAACGAAAGACATAGGAACTGCTCTTTATATTGCACCAGAACTTCTTTCTACATCTGGCTTGAAAGTAGATTACACAGCTAAAATTGACGTTTATAGGTGAGTCAAAATGCCGTAATATTTGAATTTTTTACCTGTGGTTTCTATTGGAAGATTTCATGGTTCTGCTTGGCCGTGAAATTCTCAGTGGCAAAATGA